AAGTGAGGAATGATATATGTTCGTAAGTGTTGACGTCTCTAGTTGAACAACTATGATCCTTGATAAAAAAATGCTCGTCATAGAAATCAAAAGCAGGAGTGGTCTATATAGGCCTAGACGGTTCATAAACATCCCCAATAGATCGGAGACCAACAATGGTAGCAAGGTTGAAGAGTTTAGGAGTCAGCATTCTGCAGGAAAGGGGGAGAGTGTTGGTGGTTCACTCCCAAAAGCATGTCGATGTAAGTAGCATAGGCGTGTTATATTTGAGGTGAACTCGTGAGAGTTGAATGAAGTCGAAAATACCCAGATATCTCCATAGATCCATCTTCTTCTTTTCCACCCTATTCAACCTGTTTATGTAGGCTGAGTCAGGTGTCTCAAAAGGAGAAGGGAAGTATACCTGGTTTTCCAAGAAATGAAAATAAAAAGGCTGGTCATTAAAGACCACATGTGCCCACTCATACTAACTAGGAAAAATCCATCCCAAGGAGGAATCCTTGACAGAACCAGGAAGATGGCCCATGAAGGAAAATATTTTCCCAAGATAGCATAAGGGATCAAGGCGTCAAAATACCACCGCCTCCAAATATCTTCCATGAAATGGGGCTCAAGGATGTAATTTTGATTATCAACCATGATTGGTTCTTCAATTTGAGCAGCAAAGGAAGGGCAGCGTGAGCCAGAGAGATGGATGCCATTGATCATATGAAGCATAGAAAGAAAATAAAGTGATAATGGTAGAAGGAAACTAGAGGTAACGTTCACCTTGTATGTTTACTAGGATTGCCGTGAGAAAGAAGAATTAAGAAAGGAGAAAGGTTTAAATTGGAAGATGGTGAAAAATTCTTCCCAGTAACGTGGATAAATGGTAGGTTCAAAACTAATCAGCACCCTCAAAGTAGGGAAATCTATGATTAAATAAAAAATAACAATTATAAAATCCTGAATCCCAATTTACTGGCTAATTAATGACCTTGGAATTCGGGGTAATAGACTGACGTTTGCACATTTTGAAGATGTAGCCCTTGGTAAGAGTTGGTCATAATGACTGACAACAAGTGTGATTAAGATGATGTAGCGCAAAATACGAACAATTTTGAAGCAGTTACAAACAATTTCACTTTTCTCCCCTCAGATATGGGTCGACAGTGACATTTGTTGGGGGGAATATGTTACACTTAGATTTTCAGCTACTAGAAATTCAACAAAGAATGTCAGTGAAAATACATTGTCATAAATAATAAAGTATCTTCATAAGATATGAGAACATTAATGAAGTGTCTTTAATGAAATATAAATGACAGGTGGTCGACGGACCAACTACGAAGGATCAACTAAGTCGTCGATATAGCTAGACATGGTTTGGAGAACCCTCAGGGAAAAATACCTAAGACTCATATTGTAGGGAAATATGTCCAAAATCACAAATGGGACAGTCGACAAATACATATCCAGAATCTCGAGAAAGGCGTTCGATGAAAGCCTTCATTCCATTCAAAAGGACCCGTCGACGACACAGTGTGATATAAAGGTTTAGTGATTCTTACAAGTCTTGGGTTTTTTGAAAGATATTTTCGATGGAACTTTGTGGTAGTTATCATCAACAGATCAGGAAGGAGAGGAAAAATGGTTACAACTCAACATGGGTCACAAGCAAATAGCATCAAAGGAAAAACACGTAAGAGCACTAGTGGAAACCTGAAGGATCGAACGTGGAGCAAATGCAATGATCCATTAGTGGTCATAAACTCCATTGACGGTTATATTGTAAGTAGAATAAATAACATACTCATACATGTGGGTCGAGGTCACAAAATTTCATACATTACTCTCCATACCACTAGAGTACCTAACTCAAAGAGCGAAACAGTTGAGCGAGAAACATGTATGCGTCTGCGTTCAAACATTTTTAGTCTTTTTTTCTTCCTTCAATGGAACATTGTACTTCTTATTTAACTTTGTTTAATGTTATTTACTAAATTTTACCTTATCATTTATCAAAACTTGACTTCATTTAAAGTCTTTATTACACTACATTCAATTCACACGTACGTGTGTTGACACAAAGTATTTGCACAAATTGCTTTAGAGATTTTTTGAGTTAATCTCATAGACTTTCAAACTCGTGATTGTTTATCAAAAACACCAGTAAAAAACTATATACAAAGGATTTAAACTCGACTCGCTTATTCAGTTTACTTTAGATTCGTTTTTTACATTAGTTTGTTATGTTTTTTCTTTGAATGTGAATTTAGTGTTATTAATGGTATGAAGATGGATGAAACCGTGAAGGAATTTTTATGGTTGAAATTGTTGTGATGGACATATGTTTGTTGTTAGTTGTGTGGTGTTTTTGTAGGATTATGGTTGAGGATTGAAGGAAAAGATTTTATGGAGGTGTGATGAAGAAATGGCGACAGTGGTTTGTTGGAAATTCGAGTATTATGATTTGTTGAAGGTGGTCTTAGTGGTGATGAAGGATGAGAGTTTTGGTTTAATGAGGAAGATTTGAAGGTTTATGTGATGGATATTTATGTTGATGGTGAAGAATACATAAAGGAAGAACTGAAGAATGATGGAAGTGGATGAAGGATGGAGGTGATAAAGATGGAATAGTGGTGAAGATGATATGTTCTGATACGTTTTTTTTCTCCCCCTTCTATTGAATTTCCTTTCCTTAATGTAGAGTAGAATTTGTGAGGATTTTGTTGTCTCATTTATATCCATTTTTTAAAGGATTTTTTGTGAGTGGATTTAGAGGTTGTTATAGTGGAATGCTGAGAAAAAGCTTGGAAAAGTTTGTTAAGTAAAAAAGTGTAAGTGGAATAATAATATGTCTGGACTCTTTTCTCTTTCTAAAAAATGCATGAGAAATGTGTATGAGAATGAAAGAGATTTTTTCATTTTGTAATTCGTCTGGCAAATTTAAAAATCAATTAAAATAGCATTACTACTTGTTAGAGTAGTGTTAGCAATGTTGTGTGTGAGTTGTAAACTGTGTGTGCGCATTGTAATCTGTTAGTTAAAAGTTTGTTAATAGTTTGCTAGAGAGGTTTATCAGTACGTAGTGTATATAAACTGATAGTATTGTATTTTGTAAATGCTGAGTTGAATGAGAAATAATACACACGGGTACAGATGAAAAATTTATTCACTCTGCATCTTTCCAATTCTATTACTACTTAATAAAAGATGAACTAAAATGATCATTATACTTTTGTTTTTAATCATTTGGTTTAAGAAAACAAATAAAAAGGAATTAAATTGAATCAAACGCAAATGCGTGTGAAATGCAAAAAAAAATAAATGAGCGTACTAAACTAATCTACGTGTGACGAAGTTCAATAAAACAGACAGTCGCAAGCTTACACCTGAAAACACAGTTCTCTGATTTTACATGTAATTAAAAAAATTATTCAACCAATCTATTTGCAAAACTGAAATTTTATTTTGAATTCGAATTTAAATAAAGCTAGTTAACTGTAAATAAAATGTCCAAACAAAATTAGGGTACGACGCTAGGTAAGAGATAATGTAAGAAATGCCAACTTTGAACCAATATTTGTTTCTTCTCTCACAATCAATCACTGAGATTGCTAACACACTTATTTAAGTTTCACTGTTTTTTAACACAAATACTTTCATTAACAATGTTTGTCTTTCACAACATAGCATTCAAGATATATAGTTATGGCGTTCACATTGGTTTTAAACAGATCAATGATGTTTTTTATGGATTGATATGTTGACAATATCTAGAGCATTATCTGATCTGACCTGATCAGAAGGGGATCATGGGTTGACCACACGTTGTTGGACTGCTACCTCTTCACCGGTGATGAGGAGGAGAAGGGGGGTGTACCTGCAAAACACTTCGATGCCAAAGTAAGGAATTGGGCAGAGCGAGGGCAAAATACAGAAAGGGCAAGATGTGAATTACCTGACCCTCTTGAGAAAGAGGGTATTTATAGAGAGACCCCAGCGCTGGGCCAACGGTCACTTGCGTTGGGCTGGATTGTCAGGCCCAACCCAGGTGACTGCTAGGGCTTACGTGGCGTAGTGAAGACCAGAACGTGGTATTCGCCCTAGTTCAACTGTCCCGTTATCTCCGGAAAAGGGGTTTGACCTGCTCTTTCGGAGGTGGTCAGTTGGTTGGGTGACGTGTCCCCGCGGAGGGGAGCACGTGTAAAACGTGCGAGGAACACGTCGTTCTGCCCGCGGAGCGAGAAGGTCCTGCCCGCGGAGGGCAAGGTCCTGCCCGCGGGGAGCCTTTAGCTCGACGTGGTTGGGGTAGGCCTTCCTCGCAGGGAGGCCCTTCTGACTTGTCGGGGACCTCGAGCCCAGACAAGATCGGGTCTGGTGGGACACTATTGGACTGGGCCCGCGTGGTCAGCCCGGGGCCCAGACCAGAACATTATCTTTTATAAAAGGACAACAAAGATTATAGGTTAACTTATTTTTTTTTTAAATAAAATAAATTTTTTTTTGTCTCGGTTGTCAAGAGAGAATGCATATTTTCTATTGTAGACTCAACAAAAAAATTATGAAATATAAAAAATATCATTAACAATTTTTTATCATCCATCATTATATTTTTAGGTTTCAATATCTTCTCGGTATAATTAAAAATATATTTATTAATGATTTCACCCCTAAAAAGAAGTAAATCATTAAATTTTTACTTTAAATAAAACATTGAAAAATTATTTTCAAATATAATAACAGATCGCAAGAGGCAAAATTAGCAACAAACATTATGCCGAAAAATATTTTGATAAAAATTGATAAAATTAGTTGAAACAATAATAACAACAACACACAATTTTTAAATATTTTCTAACTAATTACAAAATCTTGAAAACAAAAATTCTCTCTTGCAACCCGTTTCGGAGAATAATGATTACGAGTTTGGAGCATCAAATCAGTTAGGTCAAAGTAAATGTGAAAGCAACTACAAGTTTAGTATCCTTATTAATGAATCACTACAAGATGATATTTCATTTTTTAAACAAGTCTCCAACAGCCTTTGTAGCACCAGCAACCGCACCTTCTGATTTAGCGACTGGTTCTGGCTTGGGAGTGGGAGTAACATAATCAACAGCCTTGGTAGCAAACTCTCCTACTGTCTTCTGAACATCCCCAGCAACCTTTGTAGCACCAGCAACCACACCTTCTGATTTAGCGACTGGTTCTGGCTTGGGAGTGGGAGTTACATAATCAACAGCCTTGGTAGCGAACTCACCTACAGTCTTCTGAGCATCCCCGGCAACCTTTGTTGCACCAGCAACCACACCTTCTGTTTTCGCAGGCGGGTCTGGTTTAGGAGTGGGCGTAACGTAATCAACAGCCTTGGTAACGAACTCTCCTACTGTCTTCTGAGCATCACCAGCAACCTTTGCAACTCCACTGAAAACACCTGGTTCAGCGGGTGGATCTGGTTTGGAGTGAACATGATCAGCAGCCTTGTCAACGTACTCTCCTACTGTCTTCTTAGCATCCCCAGCAGCGGTTGTAACCTTCTCTGTCTGTTCCCCTACAGCTGTCTTTGCTGATGATGCAGTGTCCTTTGCATTCTTCACAAGATCGCTATCGGTTGATGCCATCGTTTTAAAGTTACGGTTGATGATAGCTTACTTGAAGATTTGTTCGGTAATTTATAATGTATGAGTGAGGTGGTTACATTATGCGATGAATAAATATGGAAAATTGTGTCTGGAGATTTTACCGTGGTAGGGTAGGGAATATCGAATACGTTATACGTGTTCTTTTAAACACTGTTTGCTTTCTATGTCGGCAAGGTTCTTTCCTTTTACTACCACTACTCATTATTGTTTTTTTCTTTTTTACATGTTACTAGTAATATTAGAGCTTAATAATACCATGTCATACTTATGATGTGGACTTGAATTAGTTAGATATGTATCAGAAGATTTAAAACTAAACTTAATGATAAAAATATGTGGAAGAGGAATATTTGATAACAATGTTTATAAAAGATAAATACAAAAGGTTATAATTTTGGAGACAAAGTAAATATGGATTAATCCACTATCACAATATTTTGAAAATATTTGAACAGAAATATATATTTCGGTAAATTCAAAATTCAAATGTCTAATAGTAAATAAAATATCCAGAATTATTTTTTTAGGTTGTTTTTATTTTTTTTATTTTTAATACTCATTATGTATTCTGAAAACTTTGTAGTGGTATAGAAAAATGTCTTAACATTGAAGATAATTTTGTTAATAAAACATGAGGCTAGTATGATATTTAGTGAAATTAAGAAACGTATGGAACAAATATGAGTTATTGAGTAGATTAGGAAGCTTAAGATATTTTGGTGTATTTTTTTTAAAATAACTATGTATTCTTATTATTTATCATATTAATGAAATTTTTAAATAATTGTCTAAAATGGTCAAGTTTCAGCAGCGTGTCGTCGGATGAAATGGCGACACAGTCAAAAGTGATTTTGGTCTTGCAAGCATTCGACAGATTGATTGGCGACTCTGTTTGCCTTTCAATGAATTCGCCATACTGAGTGGCGACTTATTTGAAGCTAGGGTTTCGTTTTTTCTTTTTTTATTCTTATTATTTAAAAAAATGTTTTTAATTAATAAACAAAATTATTATTAATATTTTTAGTTTTTTCATATTATGTTAAAATTAAGTTTTTAATTAATAAATTTAAAATAAATAAGTTTAAATAAAAATAATTTTAAATTAGTTTAATAAATTTAAATTTAATTAAAAATAAATTTAAATTGATTTTATAAATTGTTGTTTTTAAGTAATATTTATAAAATAAGTAATAATTATTGTTTTTAAATTATAAATTTTTTTAAAATTTTAATTATAGATTAATTTAAATACAAAATAAAAATTGATTAACAATTTAAATTTTAAAGCATATAAATTGATTTTAAAACATAAAAATTGATTAACCATTGAATTATAAAGTGTATATATTTTGTAAGGGTATTTAAGACATATCATATGGGGCACGTACTATTTTATTTTTCTATAAATACGACTGCAAACACATATATGTTTTCACAACATTGTATACCAAAAGACTGAAGTGTTAGTGCACTTTGAGTGAAGTGGAGTCTAGAATGTCTGCATTTCTAAATCAACGTTCTTCTTTGTCGTCGTTATCTAGAATGTCTGCATTTCTATACCAAAAGAAATTCGTAGTTGTGTTTTCAGCAACAAAGCCTCCGATGAAGGTACTCCTATGGAATACGCAGACGTTGGAGCACTTGCATAAGGAACTGAACCGCTGGCTAGAAGGAGATATTGCTCCAGGAGAAAAGATTAGGAAAATTGAGAGGTTGGTCGAGGAGACCGGGAGAAACGGAGTAACTCGTGAATGGAGAAAAGTGGAAAATGATGTTGGTGTCCTTGTGATGATGTTGACACCAAAGAAGATAAAGTTGATGGTCGTGATATCGTAGACGTCTTGGTGCAGTGTTCTGTTTTATGTCTTTACGTTGTTGTTATGTTTGTTTAATTTATGTTGTCTTGGTGCAGTGTTCTGTCTTTATGTTGTTGTTATGTCAGTTAGCTATGCTTTTAATTGAATGAAATTTTCTATTAATTGAATGAAATTTGCTATTAATCGAATGAAATTTGCTATTGATTTAAAGGGACAAGATTACATATGAAACTATGATCTGCTGCTTGATCCTATGTTAGGACATTTTGTACGATTGTGTCCTGGTTGTCGACACGAACTATACAATCTCACCAGTTTGTTTGCGGTATCCATTTCCGTTCGAATGTGTGTGCTGTTAGGCCGATCCTTTTTCTTTCTACGCATCAAGTCATTATGCCAAACAATTTCGCCTTCGTATTGAGGCCAATAGTCTTCCTTTGCCACCACCTGAAAGCTGCATGTGTAGACATTTCATAGACTTATCACTTGGTGAACTGCAGAAAGAAGGTTGGTTGGGTTCTGGCGCGCCTTCGAACATGCTGCTATGACATGAGAGCAAGGCATACGGAATGCTTGAAACTTCCCACAATCACAGCAGCTCTTATCCAATTCAACACGGTAACATCCCCTAGGCCTTCCTTCGTTGTGATCAATAGACTCGGCAACACTGAACCAACCAGCTGTACGGTCAAAGATTGTGACCAAGTGTGTGTTGGCTTTGGCAGCTTCCTCTTTCATGAATTTCATTGAAGTACCGTTGTACAGTTGACCCGATTGTAATACCGAACCCCAATTCGTACGTCTTCTATCAAAGAGTGATCCAAGCCTAAAATAGGTTGCCTTTACCAAGGAAGTTATTGGGAGGTTTCGGATTTCCTTGAAAACATAATTCATTGATTTGACGAGGTTAGTTGTCATGTGGCCCCATCGCACCCCATTGTCGTACGCCCGCGTCCATTTCTCCCTATCAATGTTATCAATCCATCTTAATGCATCCATGTTTGTTCGTCTGATCTCGTCATGGTAGTATTTGAATGTGGGTTCAGTTAGTGCATATCCTGCGTTCACAACCTTCTTTCGTAGCGTCTTGTCTTTGATTTCCCGCATGAAATTTTGGGCAATATGCCTTATGCAATAGACGTGGGTCAAGGGAGGATCCTGCCAACCGTTGTCATGGTTGTTGTATGCACTCTCGATTGATGGGTGTCGATCAAAGATCAAACATAAGTTAGGTTGGGGAGACATGTAAGAGCGAAGATTTTTTAAGATAAAACTTCAACCCCCAACAGTCTCCCCTTCTACTATAGCGAAGGCTATTGGGAAAATGTTGTTGTTCTCGTCCTGTGCCACAGCCATGAGAAGTGAACCCTTATATTTCTTGTATAACCATGTTCCGTCAATTTGAATTATAGGTTTACAATATGGAAACCCTTTGATGCATGGTTCAAACGTCCAAAAGAGTCTGTGAAAAATTCCATTTCCACCAACGCAAGTCCCGTCTGGTGTACACGCAGGCATTGTCTCCAATATCGCAACAATTCCTGGAGAGTAGTTTTTAAGAGCCACCAGGAATTTTGGAAGTTCCTTGTACAACTCCTCCCAATTCCCAAATACCCTTTCAACCGTTTTAGTCCTGGCAATCCAGGCTTTTCAGTATGAAGGAGTGTAATTGTACCTTTGAACCAGATGTGCAATTATGGTACTCACCTTCAAAGATGGGTTATCGCTAACGACTGATAGAATCTCATCGCAAATGAATCGAGAGCTGAGTTTGCGATGGTCTTGCATCGGATTCGAGATTATACAACTGTGGGACGGAACCATTGACCCTATCTTCCAGGAATCGCTTCTCTTCCTGAAAGACGTTGTTAATCGGAATGAGAACTCCTCGTTACAACAATAGATCGTATACCGTGTTGGATTTTTCCGATCGACTCTATAATCGGCTGACAACTCCATGTGAAATTGTTTGATTGCCCGAACATAATCTTCTTTGGTACGAAACTCGTCACCTTCTTTTAGTTGCCCTTCTGTTGCGTAGTTGGGGTTGCAGAAAATATCCGTCGAGGGTTCTTCGCCACCTAAGTCGATAGTTGTCATGTGCTGAGGTGGCCAATAAACATGGTCGGTGGAACTCCATCCTCCTGGTTGTTCAACATCTCGTCAACAGTGACTTCAGTTGCTTCTTCTTCTTCGTCAACGACATTGACTTCAGCGTGTTCCTCGTCAGAATCGCAAAAAACTTGAGAAAAATCAAGTTGTTGAGACAGTTGTTGTTTTTGTAACGTAACATGTAACACGATATCTGAGAAACCAGAATACTCGTGAGTGCGGAACATGTTAGGCACATCGTCATCGTCTCGCACCTTTAACGAAAAAAATTTGCATTCGACATGGCCGCCAAAAAACACTGGATTTTTGTATATTATTTCCAGAGGGAACTGGAAATTCTGTAAATATTATGTATTTACCACTATTACAAAATATAAACAAAGTGCACGAATATAGTTGGGGATCAGCTGTCCTTGCCCATCTGTATAGCGCACTTTGCAAAAATTCCAAATACAATTCATGTACTTTTTATGGTTGTGCATATCTCCTGCAAGCGTGGGGTTGGTCTAGGATGCCAACGCTTGCTCCAATAAACCGGAATCCTTTTACATTCCCGTACGCCAACAAGTATGTTTCTTTTCAAGATTATTTAGCAACCAAATTTTCTTTGTAAGTTAATAATTTGTGAGATGTGTTTTAGATGCTAACTTATATGTGTTTCTTTTTTTTAGGTGGGCTGTTCCAGGGATGAATCATCAGAGATGTCCCAGGCACTCTATAATTCAATACCGCAACCTCATCGACCACCTTGGGTTAGATGATGTAAGTTATTTACCTTTAATTTGTCTAACTTATATGCATAAACTTGTCTATCTCTGTCTAACTTATTTGTCCATCTTTATTGTAGTTTGTCTGGATGTCGTACGAGGGTCTCGACCACCAGCCGATCCCAATGATGCTGCTGTGTGGACATCAAGAACACCCATAATTAGGTTCACTACGGTGGAGATGCACCAAAGTGACCGGGTGAAGCTACAATTTGGGATGCATCAGGATATTCCAGATGCTCCGGTAGAATTGGGGCAGTGGCATCAAAAGCGGGTGGACTCA